TCACTTCATACAGATAAATGAGATTCACTATCAAGTAGAAGATCAAGATTATTATAAATGAGTATCTAATCTCTGTGTATTCAGTTTCTCTCTGAGTTATAAGTAAAATGTGCAGTATTAGCTTCTCTGAGAAAATTAATTCTATCTCTTATTAGATTATAACAGTGTGTTCTATCTTCAGCACTGTATAATCTCTGTAAAATTGTCAGTATTTATCAGATTTTGAAAGATGATTCAAAGCCTTTCTCAAAGAAGATATCTAATTATTATACAGACTCAGTAAGAAAATCATCAGCTCTGATATCTATTCTATTAATCTAAGCTGAATAGTTTATCTACTGATAACAGTTCAGCTTCTATCTTTGAACAGTGAGTATGACTTTCTCAGTGTGAAAGCTAGTTCATACTTCTATCAATCTACTTCTTTCATCTATTAATTATTTAAGATTCTCTTGAAGTTTATCAACATATTCATTAATGAGAGTGATACACTTATTTAACTGCTTCTTTCACTGATTAAGCTGATATTCATATTCATTGAGCTCACTCTCTTATCAGATCAGGTCAGACTTCTAGCTATTCTAACTTCTTAATTATATCTAGTATTACTGCTTCATCAGAAGAAGTGTAATTCTGACAGTTAAATTTATAAAAGCTTGAGACTATTAAATTTCTCTTCTTAGTATTCTTTATAATGTCTGTGTGAAAGATCTGTAATCAGAGACTAATAATAGTCTTTCATTCTGCTACTGAAGTGAAGTTAAGAGCTGTTTTTATATCATTATAACATCTGACTGATACACTTATAATCCCCGGTGGCTGAATGGTTAATGCGGCCACCTGGTAGCGCCTTGGCGTGGGAAACCAAGGCGCGTGGGTTCGAAACCCGCAGGGGATACATTAAATCCAGAACTCAAGCACCTCAGGTTTCTAATAAATACAGAGGTGTACAAATCACTTCAATGAATCGCTCTATGTTCCTGGGCTGGGAAGTTATTATCGCATGTATCTAATTGTCACTTCTTTGTATTTTCCTATGTTCTTGTTATCTTGACATGATCTCAACACCTGTATTTCCTCCTGTATAACCAACACTTGACCTGTATTTAACATCACGCAAGGACTCATCATAAGCTCCGCTTGCATATAAGTATAATGAAAGAATAATAATAATAATAATGATACACTTATAAGAATATCTTTTACTTTGATATAATTATACAGTATTACTTGACTTTTAACACTCTTATACTATCTATCTGTGATCTGTCAGACTTTTGTAATTATAATAGCATGCTTTTCAATTATTACTTGTGAGTAAGTTCATTCTGAGTCAGGTTTATCAGTGAATTCTCAGATAAGTTATTTAATTCTGCTAACAGACTTATTCACTTCAGTGAAAGAAAATGACTGATAGAAGCTGCTCTGAGTAATTTATCTATTCTGCTTTATTATTATAACAGAGCTGATGAAGTCATATAAGAGTGTGAATAAGATAAGTTTATTATAACTGTGATCATAATCTAGATCAATCACTAGTGCTATAGTATTCTGAAGTGAAAGATGCTTAAATAATCATTAGCTAGATCTATCATCAGCTGTAGTATTAAATGAAATAGATTTAAATAACTGCAGATCAGATTAATCACTAGCTGCAGCACTGAAGAAGATAGAATAGCTGAATAATTACAAGCTAGATTAATCACTAGCTGCAGTATTAAAAGAAGATAGAATAACTAATCAGACTGATTATCAGCTAGTCAATTCTCAGTATCTGCAGCTCAGATCAATTATCAGTACTATATATATTAAGAGCAGAGTAGAAGTTAAAGAGGCTAGAAGAACTTAATTTCTAATAAGATATGTTATTAAATTATAGTGTATACTGCTATATAGAATCAGATATCAGAGTAAAAACTCATCTGATTCTCTAAAAGATAAGAGATGAGTGTACACTCTTATATATACAGTGATTGTTTTATAGAGATTAACTCTTATAGAAGAAGTAATTATCTATGAAGAGAAGAATAGAGACTCTGTAGAGAAGAAGTGAATACTCTTATAGAAGAAGTGATTATATATAAAGAGAAGAATAAAGGCTCTGTAGAGAAGAAGTAGAAGCTCTTATAGAAGAAGCAATCATATATAAAGAAAAGAGCAGAGAAAGAAGATAGAAGTAAAAGCTTCAGAAAACAGTAAGAAATGAAGTGAAAGCTAGAGTTGAATAGAGAATTAACTTGAATAGAGAGCGAAAGCACGTCACACAGACTCACAGAGTATATAAAAAAAGAATATTTACAGTTAATTCTTTAATTATTTATAAAAAGGAAATCAGAAGATTTATAGAATTAATATAAATTATAAATAAAGAATTAAATTTTTACAGAGATATATTATATTATATTTTTATAAAAAGTGTTTTATTGTATTATAGCAGCAGTAATTAGACTGATTATATAATTATATCTGAGATTAGAATCAGAATATTTAATAGTTTTATTATTAATTTAATTAATCTTATTATACAGTATTAAGATTAGATAGTAGTTCTATACTATTTCAGTGAAATCTACTATCTACTCTTATCATATTTTTAAAATAAGATTATGATTTTCACTTCTCAATTTAAATTTATTTTATTTCTTTCAATAACTTTAAATCTTATTTAAATGTTATCAAAAATTATTACTTTTTAAAAAATTAAAAATAGTCTATAAAAAACTTTAAAATCTCTAAAAATAGTAACTTTATACTAAGAATGAGACTAAATGAAATTAAATGAGATTATTTTCTTAAGTTATAGTCTCATTTTGAGATCTGATTAATAGTCACTTTGCATGTTAAGACCAGACCAAATGAGACCAAACGTGAAATTCATGGTCCTGCCGGCCAGTCTAGCAGCAATTGCAGTAATTGAAGCTGTAATTGCCTGCTTAATAGGTGGTGACTGGTGACTACCTATACAGGCGGCCCAGGCCATTGCGGCTTCCTCTACAGGCGTCTATTCTAATCAGGTTTTGAAAGCACCTAACATATTGCTTCGCTTCGCTCCGCAAATTAGGATATGTGCGATAACTCCGTGGGTGTACCTGATTTAATTCGACTAACAGAGTAGGGAGCATGATATTCGCAGTTGTCAATGCCGAGGAAAATTAATGTGAGCTATGGGCTGCATACATAAATCAAGCTGGGGTGTTTGGATACTAGACCTTTGCTGATCTTGAAATGGCAGTTCTGTTGTCGTTCAATGGTTATCTTAAATGCACTATGTCCAGTGAAAATGCCACCTGAAGCGAAGATTTATCTGGGAGAAGGTACGCAGGCAGGCCCTTGGTTCACTCCGGCAGTGTATTTTTTATTGTTAAGAAAGAAAGAAAGAAGAAAGAAATGGGCAACTTGCGCCGTTCTTGCATTTCGAGCTGTCGGATCTATCACTCTCGTGGGTTGAAAGAAAGAGCTGGGTTTAAGATTCGGTAAAGAGAATGTTGATGTTGTGGAGTCGACATGCCCACCTTTATGCCTATCTGCGTCCAAACATGAGGAATTCAGGACGCTCTGTCGGAGGTCTTCGTGTGGGAAACGTCGATATGACATTGAGACTAATAGTGCTACGACCCAATTTCCCACAACTGCATATCTAGTTGCTAACATATCGGGGCTGTTCGGCAGATTGCTTGGGTTTGGGTAGAGGTTAGTGTTCAACTCCATGGGAAACTCCATAAGTCAAGTCGTTTGGTATGTGCAGCAGGTTCTTGGATGATGTCTAATATGACGTTTAGAAATTATCACCGAGAGTTCTCAACGTCACTGTCTTCGGCACCACGAATAGGGCATTTCCTGTGGTACATAATCTACCCTCAGAATCTCGAATTTCGCCCTTAACGATGGCTTTGCGTTCTGTGCTCTTCTCTGGATCGTATTCTGCCGTCACTGTATAGAAGTCCATTGCCTTGACGGGTCTGATATAGTCAATGTTGAGGTTGGCCGTTACACCTGTTCGAGCCGGGAAGCTGCGTATGGCAACCCGTCCCAAGCATTCGTCCAGCACTGTAGCGATTGCTCCTCCATGAACTATTAAGGGCCAGCCGCTGACCCCGATCCCAAAATGTACGACTGTTGTAGCCTTGTGTTCTCTTTCATTCCAAAATACTTGCTGTGAATATCAACCATCGGTTAGCCACGCCATTGTCATGTCCTCCAGAGAACATATAGACGCGATAAGCTCACGAACCTGCACAGGTATATTGCGACTCCCACTTAGAGGCCCAGTCGTAAGTCGATGAGGCTTCTCCTCCTCCGTAAAATTACTGTATGCTTCCCATTCGACATAGTCTGGATCAGCCCGCAGCTTCTTAACCATATCTAGGCTATCCATAACTCGCCTCAGGTGCTTAACTCGTTGTGTATCCTCATGGGAGCCGGGGGTAGCGGGATTCGCTAAGAATGCGGACAAAGAATTTCCTATACTATAGCCCAAACAGCCGAAGATGGCGACGTAAACCAACGAGCGTAATCTTCGCCGATTTACATATTCTCTTTGGGTCAGTGGTACTCGTGCCGCACGTACGAAGTAACGTTTCAAACCAGGCGAAACGCTGGAGGAGGGATTGGGTATTAGCGAGCGGGCGGGAAGTTTAATGGCGCCCTGGGCATATACACCGCGGTAGAAGGTGGTGGATATTAGTTTTGGAGAGCGAAACATTGCTGCCACATTTCAACTGTTGTGATGGTGCCTGGATGCGTTTACGGTGCAACGAGGATACAAGTTTGGTTGCGGAGATAGGCCGAGGTTGTGCCGAGTCATGTGATATGGAATTTCGACAGCCAATCACCGCCTTTATCTCACTTTTCAGATTAGCATTGAAAAAGAAATTATATTATTAATTAGTTACAGTATAATATGTACAGTGTACGGAGTAGTTTTCATAAGAGAATGAAAAATAAACTTGTATAAAAATGTAATTAATTATTATTTCATAAATATTATTAATAATTGTTATCAAATTCTTACTGAATGAGATTGAATTTGTTTTTCAATCTCAGTATTATTCTAGTTTTTGAAGAATGATTATCTTTCACTGTTTATTATTAGAAAATCTGTTTTATTTTTCAAATCATTTCTGAAAAAATAGTTCATTTTTTTGATGATAGATTCAGGTGGGACTCATGCCAAGAAATGTATGGGCCAGACTAAGTAGGACCAAACATGAAATTCATGTTCCCGCTGGCTGGCCAAGCAGAATGGAGGAGGATGAGGAGATGAAGGCCAAAGTGGTCCATGGACGTAGGTAAATGTGTTTTCATTAAAAGAGCACTCTGGTTTGCTAGATAAATCTATCAGCTTTTCCACAATCCCTCTTTAATCCCATGCTTTATAAAGATAGCCCGGCCGAAACAAATCGTTACAGCTAATTTAATACAGCATAGGAAAACAATAGCTCTCGCAAATTTGAAAGAAAGCCAGTAATCATTATGACTGATGCAGCTGAGGCTTGTCTATTTTGAACAAAAGAAGCAGAATTATTCGTTAACTTCCTCCGCAGTTGGCAGATCGATTGCACGGTAGAGCAGTATCAGTGCAGAATGCGATTCACCTAGGAAATTTATGTTAGTTAGCCCACTCTCATAAGTTGTTATTCCTTTCCTTTCCTAGTATATAGGAGACAATAGCGCAGTATATGACAACTCACCCCCCCCTGATAGAGTTTCAATCTTCTCAGCCTCAACCTCAGAAACCTTGTCGTCGTTGAACCACCACCATTTGCCATCATCCTCTCGTCTACTGCCGCCAGGGGCAAGGGGATCGTCGACAATCCTTCCTTGCTTCTTCACGTACGAAGTGTAGTGACCGCTGTCAGCGCTAGCGCCCTGGTGGGTAATTACTCCGCGCAATTCGTACAGTCCGGATTTGTTGGAGCCATCATCCGCCGCGAGCTTGGGGTCAATGAGCTTGAACAACTCTCGCTTTGCAGCTAGAACTGCTGCGGCACGCTCGGCTTCGTACTCAGCATCAGTTTTGAAGGTTTCATCCATAGGAACATCGGTGGTTGCTTCAGCCTTTTCCTCGGCCATTTGTTTTTTTTTGACAGGCTCAACCATCGCTGCATCAGCCTTCTGCTCCTCTTCTCGCTGATGTGCGATCTTCTGACGCTTCCGAGCTCGTTCCATATCGTGTTCATCCTTGCGAATCTCGCGGACCTTGTCCCTAACAGGGATGAGTTTTTTCTTGAGCTCATCGGTACAAAATTCCACAACATCCAACTCGGAGGGAAATGTTACTTTGCGCATAATTTTTACCTTCTTCTGTACATCCCGCTTCCAGAAGAAGCGTACGAAATGCACTGTAAGGTATTTGGGTAGTCGAGAGATCTTAGAACGTTTCGTATAAATTGTGTCCTGGTCGAGAGTAGGCGAGTGCTTCTCAACCTTCTCCTCCAAACTTGCTAAAAGACCGTCCCGCAAATGGTTTATGCTTTTGTCGATATGGCAGTCTAGCTTAAGAAAAGAGTCTGATGTTTCCATAGCCGTTTCACCTGCTTCTTTTGCTGCAGGATCATCGCATTCAAGAACCGACTCGAACCTCCCGGAGAGGTACTTGTCCACAAAGGAGATCTCGGCCGTTTCCGCGTCGTTCTCGCCCCTGATTGTGAGATTCTGGCGCAGCTGCGAGATGATCTGCGACCACGCCTCTTCTGCGTCTTGCTGCGCATATCCGTGGCCGTCCTTCGCCCTCTGTGCAAACTGCGGGAATGCATTCCGCAGAGTGTTTAAAAAGGCTCTGGGCGGAAATCCTTCCTGCGTTTCAGACATGCGCTTGTAAAGATCCTTCAGAGAAGCAGTCAGGTCCCCAGATGCAGTCATGCCTAGCATTCTAGAGGTATTTGATGCACCGCTTGAAGGTCGGTACTTCAGAAGCTCTTCCTGCAGTTCTGGGAGGATTCGTAACGTCTGCAGCGTCGAGTTTAGGTAGCAAGTGTTGCCCAGGTTTTGTAGACCGGCAGGAGTAGCACCATCAGCTCTTGCAGCTTCCGCTTCCGTCATATCCTCGATGAACCTTATGGCTTCTTTAGGCTTCGCTAGGGCTACAGCGGCATCGCTGGAGCTTGGCGTTCCCAGCATCATGAATGTTTGCCCAGGCTTTGCGTTGAGGGTTGAAAGTTCGGTGTCATCCTTCAGCTGGCCGCCCTTCACGAGAACCTTCTGACGTTCCGGTTCAACTCCTGTGAGAGAATAGAGTTGGAATTTGAAGATCTCTCCGTTGGCAGTCGGGTCGAGATCGACTTCGTGACGCTTGCCTTGGTGTTTGACGATTACTGGGTCTAGTTAGAAGAAAAGTGAGAGCAGTGGAAAGTAGAAAGGGGAGGCTCACCGGGTATCGTAGCCATGGCGGAAGCCAACTATTACTCTGAAAAACACACACGAAATATGTATATTCAGGTTTCAGCCCTTTGGAGATTGGGGAAGGGATGGTAGGAATATAGGGACTACAAACAACGTTGGCTGAGAAATGCTTCTAGAGGTTGGCGGGGAGAAAGAGTGCAAACAGTGCAAACAGCGCCCACCACCCCATCAGCGACGTCGACGCATCTTACCGATTGACGGGACACAGCCAGAAAATGAGTGCGATATACTGAGAATTTCACCACCCTGTTTCCCTTTTTATCCTATAAATAGCGTGGCAGACTATTTTATCAAGCTAATTACTGCCCGCACGAAATCCCATTTTCTCCGTGTCCTCCAACCCCAATCTTTCCCCAGCTGAGGTGACGGCCCGCCCCACATCCATTATGGTACGTATATCCCCTAGCGACTACATCAGGGTATCCAACTGAACTGATCGTATTCCAGTCTCAATCATTGCGTCCTTACCTTCAGTGTGTGCGATCCTCCCTCACAGCCGCCCTCGCAATTTCCAACTTTGCTTCGCAGACATCAGAACGACATAACGTCCCCGAGGTAGAAGCGGCCACTTCCCCCGAAGTCCTACTAAACCCCCTTACGATTGCGCGCAACGAAAACGAGAAGGTCCTCATTGAGCCCAGTGTCAACAGTATCAGAGTCAGCATTCGAATTAAGCAAGCAGATGAGATCGAGAATATTCTAGTGCACAAGTTCACGAGATTTTTGACTCAAAGAGCAGAGGCCTTTTTCATCCTGCGACGGAAGCCTGTTAAGGTACGCAGCCCCTGTAACAAGTAGTATAGAAAGGGGCATGGTTGACATAGTCTAGGACTACGACATTTCATTTTTGATAACCAATTTCCATACGGAGGCTATGTTGAAACACAAACTGGTTGACTTTATCATAGAGTTTATGGAAGAGGTGGACAAAGAGATATCGGAAATGAAACTCTTTGTGCGTATATCTGCTCCGCACTCGACTGGCTGATACCTGACTACTTCCCCATCGGAGTAATACATTGTTCTGTATACTAACGGTTATGTAGCTTAATGCTCGGGCGAGATTTGTGGCGGAATCATTTTTGACTCCTGTAAGTATGGTTTCCTTTTTCGAAGGTATATGCGGATGCTAATATTTCTAATACAAGTTCGATTAATTAATGACACGCCTTTGGGGACCCATAGGCTTTATACGATGTTTATTCTCTCTTCAGCGGCCTAGTACATGTCTTTTTTTTTTTTTTTTTTGCCGGGTGATAACTCGGAATCTGATGTCCCTTTTGACACTTTTCCTCTGTGTAGATTCCAATAAAACCCCTTGTGTTTCTATGCTTAAACTTCTGTTCCAAAGAAGTGTTAATTATGCTATCCAGCATAGTTTTCTTATCTTTCATTTCTATTATCTCCTTCCGGCCCAATATGCACTTTCATCATCTAACTTCACTTTCCACCTCATTAATTTGGTAATGTTCTACCACTGAATCATCGCCGAGGCTTTAACAAGCGCATTGTCTTAATTGCTTCTCCTCTGTTTTTTTCCGGCACCTCGAGGTTTTTTGGTTGTGCCTGCAGTCCTGTCCTGCAGTCCTGTCCTGCTTGTTAAGCACCTAGGCTAGATTGCTATCCTGATATCTCTATACCTTAAGTGAGCGGAGTCACTCCAGATGCTGGGTAGGAACGCCATTTCCGCTTTCTCTTTTGGATACCGCCGACGCCTTACTTACGTAGGATTTGGCTCACATACAGAGCTATGGCGATTTAGATTAAACCTGCAACAGTCATAAAGCAAAGAGCTAATTTTGTCCGAAACGGAGAGCAAACAACCCCAGGTAAATGGTCTTTGTGAAGAGTCCGGAGCCCAAGGCACATTTGAGTTTGGTTATAAACATCTAACATGATATTGCAAGCTGATCCACAGTACAACTACCCTTCCAGTAGTAACATATGCCTATTGCCCATGTGTCAATTCTCTCGTGGTAGGTCCAGCTAAGGACTAAGCAGCACACAAACCCTATGAAACTGTTTGATTTTAATATCTGTTTCATTCATCGTGCTATCTTCCCTCCTCATTCACCTCTAGGCACTACAACAAGCATCTCCTGGCTGGACCAATTTAGGGCCGCCAAGTGGGGTATCACCTTTTCTCGTCGTTCGACCTCTTGTTTCGTTTTAAGCAGACTCTTTCATTGTTGGTGGAGTTTTGCACACTCACCTCACACTCGTTTCTGGCGTGTCTAACAAGAGATTCAGCACACAATGACTTTTTCCGCGTATCATATGACGAGTAAAGCTCGGGACTACTGGAGGGAAAATCCTCCCAATTCCCCCTATACCGTGCCAGCGATAGCCATCTGCGAGTATGGCAATAGATCGTCTGAGAGTGATTTGTTGGGCTTCAATCATGCACATCCCCAGATCAGCGGCGATGGATATAGGTTCTCGGCCTCAGAGTACGAATGCGGCAGCAATTATGGAAGTATATCCGTGTCCTCAGATGCGCTCAGTGACAAGCAAACCGAAAAATTTCCTGATTTCGTTGACGATGGCAGCCCCAAGACTAGGGAAGATCGCCTCCCAGCTCCCAACAGTGGCCAGCAGCATCACTTTCCTCAACACTCCCCTCTCCAGATGGTTACTGGATACCCTTACCATCCCAACAGCAGCCCCGGACAGACCTCGACCAGGTATCAAGCGGCTTATAAATTCTATCCCAGCGTGTCATACTTGCCGCGTCATTCTCTTTGCGCAATAGAGACAAACTATTTACCAATTCTGGAACGGGGGCTTCGAAAAAACCCAAATGGCGGACTCGACGATAGCTTTACGAAGTCTCAAGATCAAATCACAAGCCTTCCTCCTACTGCTGTATCTAGGGAGTGCACGGAAATTCCTTCATCAGTGAATCCAAATATCGTTGGGGTAAACCGTCACTTTGTTGGGGTTGCTTCGACAATGGAGCAAAAAGGAGGTGATGTCGTCTCACCTGTCACTCTAGCGACGTCTGAGGAACACGCTCCTTCGTCCTCGTCTGCACCAGCTTCTCAGTTTCCATCTGACTACAACAACACCCTACAGCACCCAGACACTGCACCAGCTTCTGCTGCGATTACTGCGATCACCGGAACAGTTGCCACAATGCCAGTCGCAGACAACAGTCCTCACACCTACGCTAGCAATCCGGTCTGCTACCCATACGCGATGCCATTCGATAACGGGGCGAGATACAGCCTGCCACCCAGTTTTGGGGTTATCAAAATTACCAATGTGCGTAATATCAAACTTCCGATGCGTTCATTTTCAATCTCACTCCTCCATCATGAGCACTCACAATAGTTCTGGGGCCTATGGCTGCTTCAGCACTTCAGACACTTGGAGACAGTCGTGTCTCTTGATATGGAAGCCAAGTTAACATGATTCTAGATCCCTTATGCGGTAACCAAGCATGAGATCTTGCAGTTTCTTGGTCGCAACGCCAGACCATTGACGCCAGACCTGGGATGCCCTGTCCATATTATAATGGAGCGTTCGACTGGAAAAACTATGGACTGCTACGTTGAATTTCCAGCTAAGGCTGATGCGGACTGTGCGCTTGCCTGGGTTAACCGGGGTCTAGACAGTTTCCAAACCCCGAAGTTAGGCAATCGCCACGTGGTAGTCAGGGCTAGCAACCAGGACGAGTTGCTCAAGGATCTCTTTCCCCGTGCCAAAAATGTCGATTGGAAAGATGGTATTCCTCATGTGAGGGCCGGAAGAGAGAATTATTGCTCTGGATTTCAGGGATTTTTGACTGGGGAGGAAATCTTTTGCACTGTTCGCCATGCTGAGGTGCCTCAGCGTGTAAGTGGTGCCTTAACTTGCTGCTTGAGAGCTCTCAGATACTGATCCCTTCAACGCAACAGTCCGTTTACTGCGCAAAGTGCCTTCAACGCCCGTACGAAAATATGATGAGTACCTTGCACAAGGTAAGTCCAGTTCCCACGATATTTGATGACGTTCCTAATCCTAGCCCCAGTTCCCTTGGTATGCGACATATCATTACACCGTGGAAGATCGCAATCAGATTTTCTCTGCCACCCTGCGCCTGATTCATGCTTTGGTGCCGCAAGTGGAGCGAGGACAAACTATTGGGCTCGACTCGCGCCTTGTTCAGGAGCTACTTGAGGCAGGACTGCGCTGCCCTGTCTTCAATGACCGTCAGAAGTTTGTTCTCAATGTTGCAGCAAAGAACCATAGTGTGGTTGCATCCCCCACTGAACGCTTCTGGCCGTTTGATACCATCACCCGCAAGCCTAACGCTACTGAGGAGCACGTCATGGTATGGGAATCCCTGGAAATCTGACTTGTTATCTTGTTCTAATACCTTCTATAGCAATATGCTGAATTCATCGTAGCTGGTGCTGCTACCTTGGACCCTGGTACTAACTTCCTTGCGAACACCTGGCATCCTGTCATGCATGCAAGCTCTCCTTTTGGAAAGATCTGGCTTGAGTGGGGTTGGGGAAATACCCACCACAAATGGCAGACCGCGGTGGACTATGAAAATAGTATTTTAATACAGCTAGTCACTGAGGGCGTTAAGAACAAACGTGGTGCAGAGAGCCGGTCTCATTCACTCGCAACTTCTGGTTCATCTACTTCAGCTTCCGTTGAAGCTCCCTCTTCAGCCGCAGACCCTATCACTAAGAAATTTTCCCAATCCTTTGCACACGATACTCTCCGCTACCCCGTTCGGGCTACCCACAACATGAACCGCCAGGCCAGCTCTGCTCCAATCAATTTAATCCATATTCCACTTTCTACAAATAAGTTAAGTGACAACGATGATGCCTCGCGTGCCAGTCCGGCTAATCACCGGAGGCCTGCAAACTCCTTTTCGGGACTCGCCGATACTCAGGACATGGTACCCAAAAACATATTTGGAGCAGTGGGCACGCGTCGCCGCACCCGTGCTACAACTAATGGAAGTCGTCATTCTCCAGTGCCTGAGGTGGATGAGACTTGCTATGAGTGTTCTGTGTGATTTTGCGCACATCATCTAGTTCTGTTAATTGTCACGCAGTTTTCATTAACTTCACCTATTCAGAGCACCTCTGGATTGTTTCTTCTGAACCGTCCCAATATTTTTCTGATGTCCTCTTCACTCTTTTGGGATCCTTTTGGCAAGTTTTCCCTTTGGACTTCTTCCAGGATAACCGGCTACAATTCAATCGCGCCAGGGAAGCAAGGACGATAGGTAGTTTACTCCAAGATATCCTTCGATACAATAACACCTACAGGATAAAGGCCATAAAATTTTGGTCAAATTTTGTGTTTGCCGAAAAGCACCAGGTTTTACTTTTTCTCATCTTTTTCCCCTCATTTTTCACAAATGAAGAAATACGGCTTGTGTATTTCGCACCATGAAAGCGATCGATTTATTGCTTTGTTCTTATTTCTCTCGCCTTCCTTTTTTTTTTTTTTTTTTTTTTTTTTTTTTTTTTTTTTTTTTTTTTTGACATCCATGGGGATCCATGCCAATGGCAATGGCTACAAAGGTATTGGAAGCAGGCGTATCTAGTCTACGGTGACGGAGGGCCAAATCGAAGTGACAGTGAATTTACTGATATGTTTTAGTTTCGTTTCCTTTATGGTTTTCGCCTTTTTCTCTTTCTTTTTTTTCTTCCTCTCTTCCCCCCCCTCCCCCCCGCCAAAAAAAAAGTTCCTGGGTGGGACGAGCAGGGATATGTCTAGCACAAATAATTAGTTTGTGGGTTAGTTAACAGAGCACTAACAAAATGAAGCCCGTAAGTTGCCATTTGCATTTCATTGCCTTTCCAGCGGCAAATTTTTAAAGTCCGTGAGTGGTAGCCACCATACTTCCAAAGGGATCAGTAAAGATGTACGCAGTAGGGTTACTTGAAGAGATGGCGACACATTGTAGGAAACATGGCTCCACAATATCTTCATACTATTTTAGTCCGCTGGATGACTATATACACAACCATAGAGTATCATATATAGCTCGAATCAGATCAATTAGCCAACTGCCACTGAGAAAGGCAGTAAGCGGCTGGCAGCCAACAACAAAAATCAAAGATTCTCTTGAATTATTTTAACCCCGAATCAAGGATACAGAAATGATGGTTCACCCTCCTCGCCCATTATCTCAACATACGTATCAAGCCCACTCTGAGCAGCCTTTGCTTCCATGGCGGCTTTACTCCGCCTTAAGCCCTCCGCCCTCTTCCTTTGCCTCCGCGCTTCAGGATCTTCCCAATCAGGCCTTCTCGAAGAAATATTACCAGGATGCCCCTTGCAAAGCTCCTGCAATTTCGTCCAAAATCTCTCTCGCCGCTCTGCGTTCGTCTGAAACCTCTCATTTGCAGCTGCAAGCAACATGCGAAGATAGTCTTCAGATACTAGGCTCCTGACAATGTCTTCCTCGCGTTCATTTCCGATGGATTGCTGGTGGAAGCCGATTATGGACTCAAGGGCAAGTCCGGAGGAACGAACTGCCACAACAGGGTATGCTTCCGTATCATCTAGACACCGTAGGCTTTGTATGCCACTTTCTCGAAAGCCGGCTGTTGTGGCCGCTGTGAGGACTGGCTGGGCATGCTTTAGAGATGATGCCATAATGTGTAGAATCTGTGGGTTCCGTTAGGTTTTGATTTATATATTTGAAAGCTAGATTTTGAAAATTGTAGATACTTGGAAATTAGGTATAACATATTCAACAGGTAGGGGAAAAAACTAACCATGGGTTCAAAATGAAAGCGGACAAGTCTCAAGCTACCAGAATGGTTTGCTATCCCAATCTTCTCGTCCCCCGGAACCAGATGAAATATCCCATGGAGATAATTACCTTCACAGCTCTGATCTATCTGCACTGGTTCATGAGATTCAAATAACCATTTTCCACTTCCTTTCCCACCAGTTGGGGCAAACTGTGGTGCGTTTTGTGCTGAGCTCTCTCCGATCTCCGCCTCCGCTTCTATGGTCTTTTGATCACTTTCTCTGAAAGAAACATTTTTATTATCTTCTACTCTTGTCCTTTCTCTTCCACTTCCTCCCCCTTCTAGAAATACGCTGATTCTTCCCGCGCAGCTGCTAGTCGTAACCAAGCCCGGTATCTGATTTATATTGTGAATCAAGTCGCGGATGCCCGCATCTACAGATCCTTTGGGTGAGAGGTCTGTATATTCCTCATCTGGGACAGATAGATCGCGTAAAATCTTCTGCTTTTTAGCTTCAAAGCCGGGTCGAGGGGAAGCCATGTCTTCCGAACTGAGTTCAATTTGTCTTCTTCACAGCAAGAACTTGATACGGATCCGGTCCGGGCACAGTCAAAGAGTGTTTTTCATTCGAGCCGGATTTGTTTTCATTAATAATGCTGGACGATAGACAATGAAATGCAGCCCGATTCCTCTGGTTCCATTTGTTCTCTCGATCGAAGCCGTAACCGCGTGTGTCGTTGGCTGTTCATTCAGTGGGGAGGATGATATAAATAGAAGAAATGTGTCTGCAATCAAATGTTATCCGGATGCGCTACCGCGAAAAATATTTCTCTTTGGATAATTCCCACCGCCAACAAACTCTCTCCCTTAGAGAATATCAACCCAACCCAGACAAACAATGGAAGAAAACATTTTCATTCTGATAGACTCGAAGACTCAAGAGCTCTTATCATGCTCCTATTTAGTTAGTTCCGCGCTAGCTAAAGCTTTGTTTCCTCTCGGCCCCCCCTCAAAGAGTTTCGTTTCAACGCATACTAAATAAATTGAATTCCTCTTTCTTGAACTAATACTTCTCTATCGGAATTGCGGGTTTTATTTGCTATTGTATGCTCTATTAGCTACAGGATAGAAACCTCCCACGCAGAAACCCGAGATCCTCAGCCAAAATGCCCAGACGTTCCTCCCGCCTCAACCTCCGATCATCAGCCACCGAACAGCAGAAGAAACGAGCTTCTGCCAACGGCTCGGTTTCCAGTTCAGAAGCAGCCAGAGAGTCTAAACGACGAAAGCCCTCTAAGGGTAAAAGCGCTGCAAGGGAGCCGAAGCCCGTTAAATCTACAGATAAAAAGAGCAAATACTTCAGGAACCAGCACGCGGCGAGTGTGGATGCGGAGACGACAGAGCTCTCCGAGGTAGCTTCTAATACACCGTCGGCTTACGAAGAGGGCGAAGAGGGCGATGAGGACTCACTTTCTATACCGCCGGTTAGGGATGAGTCCGAATCAGAATCTAAGCCTACCAAAAAGCGCGGCAGTCGGGGCTGGGCAAGCGGGCGGAAGAAAGCAACGGAAGCCACTCAGGGTTCTAGGAGGGAAAAGGCAGTCTCCTCTGCTTCGACGGCGGGCAAAGGAAAGGAGTTATGGCGGGAGGGTGTGAAGACTGGCCTAGGACCTGGGAAGGAAGTCTTCATTAAGCTACCCAAGCCTAGGGATGCTGGTGATACGCCCTACGAGGATAATACGATTCATCCGAACACATTATTATTCCTCAAGGATTTAAAGGCGAATAATCAGCGCGAGTGGCTGAAGAGTGAGTACAAGCGAAGACTTATGTGGTATTGCTATATTTTGCCTCGTTGCTCACTCGGAGTAGTGCATGATGCGGATTTTCGGACCTCGCAACGTGACTGGGACACGTTCATCGAAAGTCTCACGGAAAAGATCATGGAGAAGGATAGCACAATCCCAGAATTGCCTGCCAAAGATCTGGTATTTGCGCAACATGTTGCCATCACCTGCCTTTACGGGACTAATCAGACCCGTTGTGGTCATTTTGTAGGTCTTCCGTATATATCGAGATATCCGGTTCAGCAATGATCCCACCCCATACAAAGTACGTCCCACCAAAACTCAGTGTCTTTTTGCCTCAACCTCTGTTACATTGCTGTCTTGGGAGTTGGAATATCGCTAACGCACTACGAAGCCTCATTTCTCGGCTGCATGGTACGCAATCCACGAGTTGACCGCATTTAACCGCACTGATATTAATCGAGACGCCGTCAGCGAACGAGCAGCAGAGCTGATAAACCATTTAGGTCTCGCACCGGACGCAAGGGCCCTTACGCCGCCTATTACGTGCATATAGAGCCTGGCAGAAGTTTTGTGGGTAAGTTGCACCAAACATGTGCTTCCTCGCGTGGTGTCCCTTATTTGGCGGAATTAGTCGCCTGCAACAGGGACCTTAGCCACGAAAATTCGCTTTATTCTCCACTCCAAATATAGCGCCGGCTGTATGGTTTGATCGGTGGTGACTTGGTGATATCATCGCCTCGTTTCACACCACTCGGTGGTGCATACGTTCGAAAATTCGATAGGCGGGACTTTGTTGCACTACAAACCAGGCGAGAAATGACGCATAAATTTTTACATCCACTGACAATCACCACCTGAATCAGGCTCGGGCCTCTGGCATCCAGAAGCTGCCAAGCTTGCCTTGCTTCGCCGAGATATTGACCAGAATTCACGGCGAATCAAGAACGTGTTAAATGCAGTGGACGTTCGAAAGGAGCTCTTCAATGGTGTTCCGAAATCTGAAAAGGAGGCCGTCTTAGCATTCGTCAGCCAGAACCAAGAGAGTGCGCTGAAAACTAAACCAAAAGTAAGATAAAAAATAATCTTTCGTCTAAGTAAACTCGACGTGAAACACGGATGTGATCCTGCCCATCCCATTGAACCATCCATCTCGGACAACTCAATCCATAACATGAGGTCATATTACTGGCTGTCTAGAATGATCCTTTGGTTTGCCGATCTCTTCGTCGACGATGTATGACAGTTGTACGGTGGACTTTGAAATCCGCAGCAGATTATTCCCCATCAAGGACATTTCATGGACCTCTGTGGCCAGTGCTCCATCGCCAACACTTGGACTACTGGTCCCTTCGGTATTGCCCCGTCCACATATCCCCGTTCGTAAATCGCGCGCTATCTTTGACCGGACCGTAAGGCGATGGTTACGGCAGCGGCCTTTAACTGGTCAATGGGCTTACTCCGTGCTCAGTCAATCTCAGTTCTTTCGGACCTGGACATTGGGATGAATTTTCATGTTTCATCTGATAAAGGGGTGCAGTCTTGATGCCACCGATGACACCATCTCCATGACAGATCGCATCTGGGGGTAAAGTTGGGAAGGTTTGATGGAATGTCCCGCCCGTTCCAACCCTCCTCGGTTCATCTCGCTAAAGTCGAAGCGGATTTGCCACCCCTTGTGGTCCTGCCGAGCTTCCCCTGATTCCTTAGGCCAGTCTTGATTTATATCAGAGTTCACGCTATTGCTTCCTTTGTCCTAACCATCTGTCACGTTCCAAAGTTTCGGCCTGCTTAGATTCGAGGCTAACACTTTCCCTTGTTTGAACCAGGGCTACGATGCTGATAACAAGAACATCGATCTTCTGCGGCTCCGCAGCTTTACCATTAGCAAAAGACTTGAGGACAAAGACTTGCTAGGTCCGAAAGCCCTCGATCGTGTTGCACGTACGGTTGAGATCATGGTACCTTTCGTAAGACATTTCCACCTCTCCAGTTTTCCCCTCCCTTCTCCCCTCAACCCTGTTTAGCCTGGAGCGGTCTGTTCTGTTTTGACTCCCGCTTGGCACTACTGCACCAATCCACGGCTTGTGTGTGTTTCTGTGGATGGCCCATACTCGGACCAGAGAAGCTGCCGACTCCACGGCAGCACCCTAGCCAGTTGGGCCTGTAGAAACTGTTTGTGCTCCACCCTCCTGGCGGTGTGAACGCTGGGTTCTCCTAAATTCGCAATACGGTCGCAAATAACCATATAGTGTATCTGAGAACTCCAGCGGAAATCCTGCGCCCAGGTTCGGTCAGCCTAGATAGTATCCGACTGGCTCAGTTGTCGCCCACCGGCGATGATGCCAGTAAATCCGAGTGTACCTAAAAGCATTCCATTCTAGCCTTCTCCATCATCGTATTACTGATTGGCTTTCAACCACTCGATTGGTGATTTTTTGGGCTAACATGCATAACTACCGATAGGTCACATACTTAAACAGTGTTGTGATGCCCGACCCCCCTTTAGAGGAGGATCCTAACGATGATGATATTATTATTGATAGAGACTCCGGCCACGATGACGGTGGACCCGGTGAAGTCGTTAGCGAACCAGAGTAGCAACGCTCATCATAGCTAACGCACTGAACGACGCTGGGCCAATTTTTGCTCCTCCCTATCTGCCACCTGTCTAGCGCTGGATGTTGTAACAATATGGGTATTTTGAAGAGTGATGCAGTTGCTTTATCATTTTGTGTCAGTGGAGAAGTGTCATTCTCCCAATCATCTAGGCAGCAGGACTATTTGCTTGATTTGGAATTGGTGTTGGATCTCATGCCGTTCTTTGATGGTACCCTATTCCTATTGCATCCTAACCCACTCGAATCCTCGCGGATGCAAGAAACCAAGTTTTAGAACAGGTCCCTTCAGCTCCATTCTCTTGCGAGCTACGAGTTTCAAAATTTCAACTATGTATCATTGTGACTCCAGTCAATGCGGAATCCCCTATCCCATCAAAGCCTGCCATTCTTGACACACATTATCTCAGGCTCGGGCCGTCTCCTCGTACGCACACCGTCAATTGCAAACTGACTTTCGGGTGGGGTCACTCAGAAGGAGAACGGGGAAATGGCGCTTGCGCATTGCTCCGGCAAGCTCTCTTTTTTCACAAGAGGTGAAAGAAAAGGGAAAAAGAAAAGAAAAACGGAAAAGCAAAGGAAAGGAAAAGAGGCTTGACAAACTCGTATCCTCCAGGTCCCTCTTATTATTATTACTACCTTCCCTCCCGGCCCAACTCAACTCTTACTCCCACTCTTTGGTTCTGTGTCATATCCTTGTCTCCTCTCGCCCCCCCCCCCCTCTGAACGAACGAACTATGCCTCCAACTAAAAACCCCCCTGCCAAACCTCCAGCCTAAATCTTTCTCTGGGACAGGTAAAGCAGGAAAAGTGGCCCCCTCCCTCAGCTAGTAGTAGGCGTCTTTTAAAACGAATGAAGTTTCACTGGATCCGGTCGTCCCCAAAAGAAAAATATTATAAATCCTTCCCCTATTATTATTATTTCGGCAACGTGTAGAGAATTAACACGAGCCGACTTGCAGGTCTCGGAAGGCGCGATCACAGCTTATGCCCCTCCCCCCCCCCTTCAACCAAAAAAAAAGGGGGAAAACCTGGGGCGTTGTGATTCTTCTCACATGCGCAAATGATATGTCGTTTCAATAATATTTTGAGAAGAGTAAGAAGAGTAAGTATAGAATAATTTAGAATGAATGTATGCCACCCTCGTTTGGGAGGGGGGGGGAGTTCGTCGTGGTCGTTGGTTCTGACGTCCCAATCTCAGTGACATACTACATATATATATATATATATATATATATTTGTGAACACTTCTCGCTATCCCCAGCAGCTAAGGTAGTTATAGTTCCCAGTCAAAACCAGTAAATCTAATACCGCGATCAATTGAAGAGCCAGTTTATATGCTAGATTGGCATGTTTCATTCATAGCAGATTTAACATGTAGATATATAGTTACGTAAAAAAAAAAAAAAAAAAAAAAGAATGCGGACTGGCAGAATATATCTGATGATTTTCTATTTTGCTGAAGAACTCTAACTACCTAGTCTGATGATGCTCCTGGCACAACCCAACAAACCCAGTGAGTTCTATCATCATGCGAAGAAGGAAAGACTAGTTGAGAGCATGCTTCTTGCAGAGGAGTGTATATATGTAGATAACTTTATGAACTGAGTTATTGCGAGTAATTCAAGCTCTAGCTAGGCCTTGATATGAAGGTATATATATATATATATATATATATACATATTCATTAACCACATTCGTAAAGGAAAGGAAAAGGAAAAAATAAAATAAAATAAAAGAGAAAAAAAATAAAAAGGAAGCCAAAGTAACTCCTTAGACTATGCTACGCATATATTTCTAGACTCCCCCATCTCAACAGCCTCTCCCACGTATCAAATGAAATGGGCAGAGGCATAGATAGATAGATACATAGATAGATATATGAGTGTACGAACAAACCTGGTCGATAAACATACTACTACACAGTCAAGTTCACTCCGTAAGAGAAGAGAGTAACGGCTATATTGACTCTCTCATTTTGCTAACCTCAAAGAGAAAAATGGATGCGGTACGGAAAATCATAATATATTTCCAAGGACATGTACATGTACGTGTACATTCATTATATTAGCTACCAAAGGACCGCCCTTCTGCCCGCCGCCCACACGTCCGTCCCGCTCGTCCCGCTCGTCCCGCTTCCGTTTCCGCTCCCGCTACCCGAAAACCGATGTCCAAAGGTAAAAAAGGAACGTGCGATGAACACCAAAAAGTTACTGGCATTGCATATACTAACTACCATGACAGTCAGTCGGGCGTATATGCCCATAATACAGTTCTCGTTGGAAAACTCCCAGTTAAAGCAGCTTTGGTGAAAAGAAAAGAGATAGAAAGAAAAAAGAAAATAAAGTTAAAATTAAAATTAAAAAAAAAAAAAAAAAAAAAAAGGGGGTGTAAAGGGGCACACAAACACACACACCTCCGTTCGTATTTCCCACACAAAACCCATGTGTAAAAGTATGAGTGAGACGATTATCCAATAGGTATGAATATAATAAGATTGATAGCTGGAAGTCTAGAAGTGGGATATTGGGGCTGGCGTGAGGGGAAGGGGTGACAACCATGCCCTCCTCCCAATGTCAAGAAATGAAAGAAATGAAAGAAATGATGCCTTTGGATGTTCCTGAAAGGAGGCCCGATGGCACTTCCCAAGCTATTATTGTGTGTCAATAGGAGGTGTGGACAGACATGTGTCTCACACGCGGATGCGTCAACGTCAACGCGTTCCACCCACAATCGTCGGATGGAAGTTTCAGGACGGGAGACGACGAATTCTCCTCGGGGTTAGTGAATGCTGTTATATTATATTGGAACTGCTGTGCTGTCAGCTAGGACCCCCCCGCCCTCTGCAGTTTTCTGGAATTGGTAGAGGACGGGGGTAGAAAGTTTCGACTTTTTTTTTTTTTTTCCCATTTCGAGAACCGTATGGTGTAGATTGGTAAAGGAGTTGGCTGACAGCACGAACATACATGTAGCTAGCTAACTTTAGAGCTCGGCAACAAGTCCATAACCGTGCCATGCTTACTCACTCACTACAGAGAGTGAGTAAGCATGGCACGGTTAGTCCTTATCATGCGCGCCCGGCGGCGCAGGGGAAGTGAGAATAAAAGGCATAACAACATCTCCATGCACAATTGGGAGCGAAATGGTTGATGAGATTGATTAGATTTTGCCAAGGGTGACGTCAAAAAGGACAATGAGTCTCAAAAGGCCTACTCTACTGCTCGACAACTGGAGAGCGATCGATGTTTCGGCTGTTCATTGAGAATTATCTGGTGGCACATTCACGAGCGCTGAGATGACAGCGCGGATTCAGCAACACGATCGCGGTGCGGCCCCTATTTGCTTTTTGCTTTTTGTTTTTTGCTTTTTGTGTTGTTCGTTTTCTCCTTTTGGGATCGCATACGTTAGTTCCATCAATAAATAATGTAAGGTTCATACGCCGAGGGAACAAATCGGGGAGGTTTTTTTTTTTTTTTTTTTTTCCCTCCGTCTACCCCGTTTTTGTCGCTTTGTTAACTTAGCTTGAACCAGACCCGGGACGACGAAAAAAGAGGGACCGTTCGTTCGGATAGGAAATACCGATACGCGTTTCGAATAGTGGCTGGGGGCCCTAAGCTTCGTTGACGGGCATCTCCTCCCTCAGTCCGTTCAAAGGTTCGGAAAACAGATTTTTGCGACGTTGTACAGCTCACACATGCATGAACCCCGTCGCAAATATTCGTCCTGCACTTTGTGTCTCGCACTCTAAATGATATCTGCCAAATGGAGAATCGGACCATAAAATTTCCTTGGCCCCCCTTCCACCGAGACACAAAATAGTCGTGATTAAGATGTCCCTGCTACACATTGCGTCATTCGGAATGAGCTTTAAAAAAAAAAAAAAAAAAAAAAAAAAAAAAAAAAAAAACTCCATGGTCCCCAAGTGCGTGGTGTCAGTCTGATATTCCCTGAAAAAAAAGCGCCCTGCAGGAAAGCGGGTGGGGTGCCGCAAATTTTCATAAAAAATGTCACGGCTCCTCCTCCGGGTGTCAATCTTGTCTCCACAACGCCGAACTATCGGTTTTTCTCATCTCGACCAGTTTGATTTGTCAAGTAGCGAGCATGTTCCCAGCGTATCAGGACAGAAATAAACTTGAAAAAAAATGTAGATCGACGCCCGTACGTTCACCAAGAGCTTTGCACAGTTTCATGTAGGTGTGCAACCAACTGAGAGTGTATCTTCTTCATTTCCTTGACACAACAATGAAGGGATGTGTTTTGGAGGAACACCTCAAACCCGTCACGCGTGGAATTGTTCAAGACAATGAGAGAGATCCAGATTATTGGCCAAATGTCCTTGTCTCGGTGGCATCGCGATGGAGAGCCGGGATTGGCTATCTTCAAAGCACATGACCAAAATCATATGCGGGCCTAGGCGGGAGACAGGGATGGGGTGGGATTTAAGTTTATGTGGAACCAGTGTTGGGTAGCGAGGGTTGAGAGTGTAGGAGGGAAAATAAAAAGAAACGACTGTGAGGGAAGGAGGAAAAAAAAAAAAAAAATCCAAAGCCCAGTCGTGTTTTGTGTACCCTGCGACCCCCCTCAGGCAGCCCAGCCCAATGGATTAGTTGGCACCAAGCCGCCTAAGTTGGTTTTTTGGAGAACTCCGTTCCTCGCTGGCGTCAAGTGGGGATGTGGCTATATCTCCATTTTGGGTGAAAGATGGCGGAAAGGAGTGGATTACGCAACGGAGGCGGTGACAAACTTGCATTAGCGGCGACGTTTACCCATTTCCTGGCCTGTCCGCTGGGACAGGCGGTAGCAGCGCCAGAGGCATAGCCGGATTGGTCTTTTGCCCGTGATGGATGGATGGGGCCAGCAAACAGGGGGAGGAAGGAAGGAGGAAGAAAAAGAGGGTCGGTCAGCTGGGGGGGGAGAACAACGCTTGCAAGGAAAAGGTCGTCATATGCGCCATGTGACTGGTCTGATGGACCTTGTTCTGTCACTCCAGACTCCATCGCTGCTAAGATAGCCCATGCTGCCCAGGCGGTAAGGGGAAGGGGGGTCCCATGTTGTTGGTGGGCTGGGCGAGCGAGATGGGTGGCAGCAGTGGGGGGGCGCGGGGGGCGGCCGCGGCGGACGAAGGCGAAAAGCACACGCTGGAGCGCCGGCTAGCGGTGGTGTAGGGCCGGTGGGGAGGGACGGCAGCAACCAGCACAGCAGGAGGAGGCGCCCGTTCGATTGATTGGCCGTGGGCGGCGCTGGGCGCGGATTGCAGGGATGCCCCGATTGACCCGAGCAAAACGTGGGCGGACAGGGGTATGGTACGCTGGTATACTCCGTAGAGCCGTTCTGTTTGGTATCATTTATCTATTGACGGATGGTGGTGTATCGTATTACCAAAACAGCGCTATGTTCTAATACGGTACGGGTACGCGCTATTTCCCGCCCCCATCTCATCTCGACAAACCCATCAGTGACAAGTGGTTAAAAGTAAGTATGCTCGATAGGCGGAGTAGAACCATAGCACTCCCGCAGAGTTGCCTCTCATGCATGTCGGCATTGCAGGTGGGTTTATGCAATGGTTGATTCCGACCCCTGTTTTTCCGACCGCAGAGGCCTGGGATACACCGGTTATGTCTGTCAGGCAATATCAGGATTGCGTTCTCGTATGCCCGAAACCTGCAAAGCTGCATCATATCTGCAGCGACGGGAGGTCTGATGGAGGGGTGTCATCGCAGCCTCACCATGTCTCTCACGTCGGTTGCCATCTCATGCAAACAAATTCTCCCAGCATCAGCTGAATATCCCTCCCCCCTCTCCCCCCTCCCCCCTCCCCCCTCCCTGGCCCACCAACAAATGCAGTGGCTATGTTGGCAAGTAGAGACTCCAATGGAGAGGGAAAGAAAAGGAATGCAGGCGCAAAGCTATCAGGTCCTTCATATGCTACGACCATATCATCACATACATTCAGAGCATGAATCAGCACATGATCGCAACGCGATGCAACGCCCCGCGCCTGCATGTTTTGGCTGCATAACTGATTCCGCCCATCTCCTCATGTCTGGTATGGTTTATCCAGGTCCAAGAGAAAGGGGAAAAAAAAAAAAAAAAGAACTTTCTTGCATGGTATCCCGCCCATCCGTCGCCCGAAGTGAGGGCCAATGATTTTCCATTTCTCTCTCCTCTGGCTGCCTGTCAAGCAAAAAGAAACGGGACCGGGGAAATCAGGGGGACTCAGTCGGCTGGGAAGGGAAAAGAAAAGAACTGCCAAAAAAAAAAAAAAAAAAAAAAAAAAAAAAAAAAAAAAAAAAAAAAGAGGGCAGCCCAAAGCCGCTGTCCCACTCCATTGGGTGTTGAACAAGTGATCGCCAATAATAATAATAATAATAATGTTTTGCCAAGTTGCCATCCGGGGCGGCCCGTCACCGATCAAGGCGCGCGCCGGTAGTTATGTCGTGGTAGGGGGTGGGGGGGCGCTACGGACGGACGACGGACGGGTTGGGCAGCCAAATAGGAAGAAGTCCGGGCAATGAGAAGCAAGCGAACTAGAACTAGCGGGAGGTGCCTTAAAAAGCTGGCTTGAGACTCCTTTGAAGCATATGGTTCCTAGATTATTATTGATTACTGGGGGTCGGTCGGAAAGAAAACAAAAAAGAAAAATAAGTGCTGCGGCTGGGCGGGAAGGGAACGGACGGGACTGGGGTCAACGTGTTCGATGTATGCAAGGAAACTCATGCAGATGCAGGCGGGGATTGAATGGTCATTGGTGGCCAGCAGAGAAGAACCGGCATGATTTATACAGCGTAAACATAAGAAGACCGATCCGATATAAAATCCAATGTGTGTACGCTGGAGTTCTTCTGGCGAGTGTGATTTGCTGGTGGTTATTGGGGGAATTTCGTGGTGGTTGCCGTAACTATCGTATCCGGAAAGGATGAGGTTCTGCTGGGCGCGGCTGAGAAACTCACCGACCGACACCAAAGCTCAGAATATCTCTCGATATTGCATAGTTACGTTACAAAAATATCTATTATTATTGTCAACGTCTGAATATTCTTGCTAGGTAAACGATCACCATTGCTAAGAATGGCATGATTGGTTATACGCTGCATTACCCATAGTTACATATAACTAATTGCTTGCTAGCAGGAACATCTATCATCAAACAGCCAAACTCGCCGCCAGCTGGGGAAAACCAGAAGCGTTGCATCCAAGCCAGCACCCGCAGAGGGATTCTAACGATGACGGCAATTCCTGATGCACTCCCGCATCACAAGACCTCTGACATGTGTGCGTGATTATGCACTTCCGCAGTTATCCCGGCAAAGCGCCAGCAGCCAATCGAACGGTGATGGATCTTCCACAGCTGTGGAAAATCTGCAGCGGCCAACATCTGAGGTCTGGCGGGGCGCTGGCTTGCCCTCCACCGCTATTTCGTGTTTTTCTTTACACCGCAATTTTTCTTTTTCTCTTTTTTTCTTCCCTTTCCCTTAACTCGGCATTTTCTCTAAAAGTACTCCGTAACCAATTTTTAGAACTAATGCCAGGAGAAGAAGATGATGTGACACCCGATGCATGCTCCCTCCCGCGGCGGCAAGGGTGCAAGTGTCAGATTTTTTTTTTTTTTAAAAAAAAGGTCCCGATACATATAGATTTTGTCCGGAGATATTTCAACGCATCAAGTTCTCAGCAGCCTCTCACAAGGGTCCGTCCTGTATAAGAAACATTTTGGATGATATCATTCTCATGCAGCAGACATGTGAACGAGGTTGTATCATTCTCTCTCGCCTACAAAACCCCTGCCAATTGAAACCGAGACGTCACAAACAAGTTCTCCCATATTTTCTAACCCCGTCGATGGTAATTATTATTATTCGAAAAACCAGGCAGCTATTATTAGTACGTGGAAACATCCACCCAGGCGCAATACAGCTAGCTACCTGGCGGAGAAGATAAGTAGTTACATAAGTTAAACTAACCATTTTTCTTCGCGAGGGACGCGGGAATTCCGATTTAGTGCTGAGGTCTTTCAACTTCTTCCAATTTCCCGCCTTTTTTATATACAGGAATCCCCATGAATTGATGATCCGCCCGGGGTCCATCCCTCCCCAACTCCCCGATAATATCCCCGATAATATCCCCGATAATACCCCCGATAATACCCCAGGTTGGGTCGATATCTGTTTGTTGGGGGAAGGGATTTTTTGACCCGCCGCGGAAGCGAAGACACATTAGCCCCGCTCGCCACCGCTTCCATATATCTAAAAAATACAGACACTGCTGCTACTGCTACTGCTAACCATTCGTTTTTTCTCCTTTTCTCCATCCGCGCGCGACCTTCTACGCTGCGTAGTTAATTTTTAGTAGTTCCTAGATATATGCAAGCAAGCATGCTAGTTAGTTTAGCAGCGGAAGTTTTGAGCGTTGGAAATTAAAACGTTAAGTTTCTCATCGCTTGCTTTTTTGGACGCCGTGGTAGCCGCCGATTTTTTTTCGCGTCGGTGGTTCTGGAAAAATGTTTCCTGATGAGTGTTAACTACTCCGTAGTTCAGTTCATCTCCCACGTAGTACTACGGAAGTTATTAATGATGATCTATCTTTAACTATCACAATGTTAGGATGCCACCATGTACATTGTACATGTACTGTACATACAATTGATACAGTTTTATATCTCTATTACCAGCGTTAATATACTTCTCCCTCCAAACTCCCCTCATTTGGAATATATATGGTAAATAACTACTTGTCCCATAATTAACTCAAACCCCATCTAACTATTAAACCTCGCAAAAAATCACAATCGCGTTTGTTACTCACATCATAACTATGTGGAATTCCTTCTGATCAAGATAGATAGATTCATGCCATCACCCTGCTCTATAGGGAGTAGATGCCATTTGGTATTGTTTTTTGCAGAACTTAGATATAGATACCCCCAAAACCTGAAGCGGCCAAATATAATGAGTACAGCAACTCCGTAAGTTACGCTACTACCTAGGTAAAAATAAACTGGAAGAATTTGCTCAGCAAGAACCTATGAGTTTACTTATAAAATCAATCAGCTTCGAACAGATTAATCTGTGAGCACGCTGGCAATGACATCAGCATTGTAGTAGTAGTATTATTAGTATTAGTATTGTTGTTGTTACATAGGTGGTTCTCGTGGAGCAAGCAGCACAGCAATAAGATATTGAGAGGCCTCATACAAGCACAGCACGCACGCGGTGGATAAAGTTTGGCTGAAACTTAGTTACTACGGAGTACTTACAGAGTATAGCGTACTCCCCCTTTCTGTTATTAATTTATTACTTATTTGAAAGAAAAATTAAATAAATAATTAAATAAATAAATAAAATAATATAATATCTTTTTTAAGCTTCAATTGTTTTGAAGCGTTGAGCAAAAAGAAATATAAAAAATATAAAAAAATATAAAAAAATAAAAAAGACCTTACCTTACCTCAAGCAAATTACCTTTATTGGATAAACCGTTGAGAAGAACGAACTTTGTAGATTTGTCAACAATTTCCAAGGTTAACGTGGCTATGGATAGATACATAAGCATGTAGATTCCATGGAATAATGGACAGGGAAGATTCGCGAGCTGCCAGTTTCAGGTCTGATTAGGCGAGCTTTGTTGTCATCGCAACTCCAAGAACAGTCAAAGGTCAATGTAACGCATTGTTAGTAAATAGAAACAGACACAGAGCAGAGTTAGTTATGCCGTGTCATTTTTTTTTTTTTTTTGTTTTTTCTCTATTCTTTTTCATTTTTTTTTCTTTTTTTTCTATTATTGAATATATAGTCTGTATGTGATATCGTGAGGGCATTAACAACAAACGTCACTGAGAGACAATTAAAGATATTGTACGGAGTACGGAGTACAATCAGGCAAGACGGGCTGGGCGTGGAGCCGGCCCGTGGCGGTTAAGGTAGGTAGGGTTAGTTAGGTGAGTGGGTGTGGTTTGAACACTGAACTGAACACTGGACAGCGCCACCCACCTGAGCTTTGCCGTTGAGCTTTTGCCCGTTCCCGAGGAGAGCTACGCATACATCATCGCGTAAGTAAGCAGCAGATTCCAACGACCGACCGGGGGGGGAAAATTTGCCTCTTGATCTTTCTCGGTTGATGGTGGTTTGATTTGGAAGTTGAGAACGACATCGACTGTGAGACAGAAGGTCGTCAAAACTCTCGAGATGATGCAATCGGCATTAACCATGGGAAACTTCTCTGTTCTTCCGAGGGATTAATTATTTATTGCTTCTGGTAAGTAGTTGCCCCCAGCCAGGAGACACCGTTGATTGGAAAGTTTCGGAGCGAGAAAAGGCAAAACAAAATAAAATAAAAAATAAAAAAAAGAAGGGGAAGAATGATTAACGTAACTAACTAGTTGCTTTAGTTACCTTGTTTTTTTTTTACCTTAAGTTCACCTCCCTGCTTGCTATATAGTGGGAACCTAACTAATCGCTGGGCACCGACGGGAAACTGGGTTGGTTATCTATACTCAAGCTAACTCAACTAACTAAACTCACTGCATGAGCGGGCCGCATCCCTTCGCTCCATGGCTTTTGTTTACCCTTTGACTCGTGCAGCAGGATTATTTGGTTCGCTTGCGTGATGGGTTGGTTGGTTTTGGTCCGGGATTCAGGAACCACACATATTTTATTGATAAGAAATAAGAAATCGTAGCCGGGCTCTGGGTGTCCATTGCTTATGGCAATATGGCAATATGGCGGTATCATAGAGTTTAAGTTTTTAAGTTCTGCTATGTCTATCGGAAGGAATCTCGGGAACGCCCTGGTATTTTATTA